TACCAGGGAGCACTCCCCCTAACCCTCCCATATTTAATGGGAGTTAAAATTCAATGTCCATCTACAATTTTTTTGCATGCGTTTCACACTTAACACTAAGAAACAGAATGCATGACTTAAGAGCATACAATGTTGTGCTAATGCTACTTAAGAGCTTAATTAATTACTATTAGCACTAATTTAGTGACCGTAATTAAAATTTAGAGTCCATAACTGAAACAAAGCCTAAAAGCTAGCTAACCAAGTCATGAAACCAAAAATATCACTTAAGAGCGACAAAAGTTGACCAAACCTTGTTTAAGACTCGTTCAAAGGTGACAAAGGTCAAAGGTCACTAATGAATAACCATAATTAAAATTTAGAGTCCATAACTGAAACAAAGCCTAACCAAATCAGGAAACCAAAAATATCACTTAAGAGTGACAAAAGTTGAACAAACCTTACTTAAGAATGGTTCAAAGGTGTCAAAGGTCAAATTTTAGGTCACAAAATGACGTTTGAGTGGATTTGATTAAATTGTCTTGTCCAGGATTATTTTTCTTTCTAAAACCATTTCTATGAGTTTAACTGCAAAAAATGACTGCTTAAGAGCATGAAATGTTGTACTAATGCTACTTAAGAGCTAATTAATTAGCACTAATTTGTGACCATAATTAAAATTTAGAGTCCATAGCTGAAACAAAGCCTAAAAGCTAGCTAACCAAGTCAGGAAGCCAACAATATCACTTAAGAGCGACAAAAGTTAAACAAACTGGTGACGAAGATCATATTTGGGGCCACATTATGACCAATTAACTAATCAATCCATCAAATTTCTGTTCTCTGCTTGCCCTAAAGAGACGCGGAAAAACTATGCGACGAATCACTCATTCCTAGGAAATGAAATGCAAAAACTGTTAAGTTTTTCCATTTATTCTAAATATTGAGAATGGAAGTATAGAACTGGATAACTCTCTGGTTTTAAAAAAACGCAGACAATTAAATTATGAATTAGTCTATATATGATTCGAAACATTATGTGTTCTCCTTTACATGGATATTTATGGGAAAAAAGGTCGCAATTGGAAGGTTATTTTCCGTATAAAGCTATCAAGAATGGCTTATACTTACAAGATGTTTGTGCTAGATAAGATAAGATGTTAATTGCATCAAAACGTCCATTTAGGACAACATGTATACATATATGTTTAGACATACTTGTATACATTTAATAATACGAGAGAGAGAGAAATGGGGTTTAACGTCCACTCGACACAAACTAGGTCATTTTGGGACTAACACATGGTTTAACTTTATTTCAATAATTGCCACGTACAACCGGGGATTCGAAACCACGCCAGTTGACTCAATGGCAGACTTCATGGTACAGCGCGCATGTGCTAACCATTCAGCCACCCAACCCCCCTATTTAATAATACATATAACATAGAAAACACATATATGTACACACAAGTAATACATTCATACTCACATGCGATACTCTTGTTGGCTAATAGTCTTGTTTCATCAATTTTCATTCTATTATGGATAGTCGCTCCTAAATATTTCCAATTGTAAATTAGATTTACTGTGGAGTGAGGCACGGATTTCAGAATGAGATGCTGTTTTGGGCGATTTCAACACCAGAGATGCTTCTTATAGGCATACAATCCCTGCGACCGACCCATGACAATTTCTAGATTAATTACAATATTCGATTTGTGTATTCCACCAATGCTACTTCTATTTATATATATGCGAAGTGGATAATTATTTTGATATAATATTTGTATTGTCATCATTGTGTTCCATACATTTCTGTCTCCTCGTTAACTGTATGCTTTTTATCTGTTCGTAATAATATTATATTGTTAACGATTGTAAATATGGATCTAATACTGTCAAGCTTGATGTAGGCTATAGTAACCTGTGATTGTTTCCCATAAAAACTGTGTTCTGTTAAATAAAAGGGTGTTGATAAGAAAATTTGTTCGCAAACTAATTGATATGTCCACAATAAATATATACTTTAATTTTAACAAGCACACACCTGAGACATTATCGACAATGCGAAAGTAATTTAAAATGGCTGTTTCACACACCCCACCACCGTCAAAAACAGAACAAAACAAACAGTGTAGAATATACTATCGCAGGCGCAAATGACTGCTGTTCAATTTGAATTGTTCGCGTATTTCACCAAACATAATAAATATGTATTATACATTAGCTAAATCGGTCAGTTGCAGGTATTTCATTAGTTATATGATCTATTAATTAGACATGTATTAACATGACAAGAACATAATCAACCCTCGATGACATCTGATGGGTCTGATTTTACACAAATTTAAATCTGATCTGCTGTTCAACAATGCTTGGTGATTAACCGTAAACATGGATAAGCGAGACTTGTCTATTATCGTTACAACATTAACAATGACAACTGAGTCTACAGTGTTATTGAAATGAGTTTTTTCTTGACTCAGAGTTCAGCAACTTTACTGAAATTTTCAGCATATTCTCTTGACATTATCTATTTTTAACTACTATAGCGCTAAGTGTCAGCTCTTTATCCAATCTTTCACAATGACGCTTAACAATTGTTTAGAATATACATGTACAATAAAACAAATTCAAAATTGGGCATATTACTTATTACTCATATTACATTAATAATATGTGCTTTCCGACCCAATTTCGTCTCTTCAAAAGAATGAGCTAATCACCCTTTAAACAGTTCACTCATTGAACTATGTCTGGAATTACTTCTTTAAATCAAATAATGCATAAAAGGAAGTTTAGTCTTCTTCAATTTTAAAATTCCTTGTTGTACTAATAACTTTGCCATACTTTCAAGTGCATAATTATTGCTGACATCAACATTATTGTCACCGGCCTTTCAAAGAAAGCATGGGACTATTAAAATGGGCCTGTTCGTCCGTCTGTTCATCAAGCCATTTTGGACACAATAACTCTTCTTCTAATTCAGGTAGAATTTTTAAACTTGGTGTAGGTGTTAATTATGTGAATGGCTTGATGGAAATCGAAGATGCGCATTTATGTTTAGGATGAGCAGAGATAAGCAATTTGATTGGTTGATTGGTCATAATGTGGCCCAAAATATGACCTTTGTCACCAGTCTTATGCCAAGTTTGTTCAATTTTTGTTGCTCTTAAGTGATATTGTTGGCTTCCTGACTTGGTTAGCTAGCTTTTAGGCTTTGTTTCAGCTATGGACTCAAAATTTTAATTATGGTCACAAATTAGTGCTAATTAATTAGCTCTTAAGTAGCATTAGTACAGCATTTCATGCTCTTAAGCATTCATTTTGTGCAGTTAAACTCATAGAAATGGTGTTAGAAAGAAAGTAAACCCGGACAAGACAATTTAATCAAATCCACTCAAACGTCATTATGTGACATTAAGTTTGACCTTTGACCCTTGTCACCTTTGAACCACTCTTAAGCAAGGTTTGTTCAACTTTTGTCGCTCTTAAGTGATAATTTTGGTTTCCTGACTTGGTTAGCTACCTTTTAGGCTTTGTTTCAGTTATGGACTCTAAATTTTAATTACGGTCATTCGTTAGTGACCTTTGACCTTTGAACGAGTCTTAAGCAAGGTTTGGTCAACTTTTGTCGCTCTTAAAGTGATATTTTTGGTTTCATGACTTGATTAGCTAGCTTTTAGGCTTTGTTTCAGTTATGGACTCTAAAGTTTAATTACAGTCACTAATTAGTGCTAATTAATTAAGCTCTTAAGTAGCATTAGCACAACATTGTATGCTCTTAAGTCATGCATTCGGTTTCTTAGTGGTAAGGGTGAAACGCATGCAAAGAAATTGTAGATGGACATTGAATTTTAACTCCCATTAAATATGGGCGGGTTAGGGGGAGCGCTCCCAGGTATATGCACAGGTTACAAAACTTAAGACTTGACTTTCCAAAATGATCTAGGGGTAAAATATGTGTTGTAGACCTCAAACCTTTTGGACTCAATATTTTGATTAAATCTCACTGGGCTCCCGGGTTATTATGCTCATCCGCAGCACGTAATCCAAATATATTACTAGTATAAATTAATCCATTGGCATTTTCTACACTACAAACTTGAGAACTCTACAATTACAACTCGTCTTCATTTAATGGCTGTTCTTGTTTTTGTCTGTCAGTGGATGTCAATACCTCGCGAAGTTAATGAATTGATCTGTGCGGAAATTAGCAAATGTACCTTGCTTATCAAAACCTAACAATTCTCTGATCTACTTTGATATGTCAATGTATGTTTTATGGAGATCCAAATTTGATCAAATTACAGCTCTTAATGACAAGGAGTTTGATTCACCAAAGCCACCGGCCAAAACAAGACAAATTTACCTTTAGCTACGTGCCAGACATCGAAGTAGTGCTTGGTATTGTGCAGATTCTCGCGGATCCATTTACCGATTTGTAAATGACGATCTGTAATTAGGGTGGCCAACTGTATGTTGTTTTCTTGGAGCCATCGTATGGCGCGAATAAGACCTTCTTTCTCCATGTGGTTGCTGGACTTGACTTCATTACTCTGAAATAGACTGTGAAAAGTGAAATAGGAAAAAATATCTCAGTACGTTAGAATTAATAGTACAAATAAATTTTGGGTAATGAATTTTGTTGGTAACCAACTTAGTCGAATAACTTATGACAAGTCTAGTCGTGTCGTTAATCTCTTTAATTAATCAATCCTACTACAGTTGCACAGATTGGGGTCGTAAATTAATTTACAACTGGGTGTTAGCAGTGAGTATTAGTTCGATTAAGAATGCTGATTAGGTAATTATCTTTTTGTATGCCGACCACATCAAAGACATGGGTTTAGAAAAAAATTGTAATATCCGTCCGTTATTTGACTTTAGCAACGTGATATATGCAAATTAAGACTTACCTAGACTAACTGTACATCAAAAACAACAGATTTCTCCACGTCTAACATTGTATAAGAGCCAAACTTAGCGTTGTGGCCAGGTGTATCTGCCCTACCGTCTCCTCCAACCGTTATCCCTTTCTCATTCAGTCGAACACTGGCAATGTATGCTGCTTGGAATTCTTTCCATTCTAAATTTATTGCTGGATGTAATATTGTCCGCTGGTGAGTCATGTAGGTTTCTATGGTTGTATGGGGTATATTCATAATAGAGAAGGCCTTTATTACTTTTGAAGGAAGCGAACCTGAAAACAAAATACGGGAGGATAACGCAAGGTTTCCCCGCTGGAATGGAGCCTACCCGGTGCTGACTGTTCCATAAAAAACGTTCTTCACACAATTCACACACACCTTCAACACGCACCATGGTCCCTATCACACAAACAACTTTTGTCTTACACACACAGCTACAGTTTCGGCAAATAAACAGTTCCATTAAACACGACTCGCTAACAATATACTTTCTTTCCATTAACGCCGATCCAATTTCCCTGGAATAAAAAAAGATAACATCTCGTACACATTACTACATAAAATGGTAAACGATATTTTATTTTGTTCATAAATAAATGGGTATTGGTGTGCAGTCACGTTGAGGTGTTGCTGTGGATATGTGGATATGCAAGTTGGGGATGCTTGTCAATTATTACGAATTCGGTATGCTATTGTCATCCCAGAAATTCTCATGTTACGAATTCGTATGCTATTGCCCTCCAGAAGTTTTTCTTTATAATTAACTACCTGCTGACATTATTATGAGTTGACAAAGAGCTTTCAGACGACAGCTGATCCGGTTCATACGAAGGATCATAACTTGAGCTACGGGTTGTTCCAGTGCAACTTGAATCGTCACTTATAAAATCCATTGTTTTAAACTCTGGCTCTACGTCTTCCTTTGGAGGATCATACTGAGTGCCTACACTTCTATAGCTGGGTCTCATCTGTGAAGCTGGAATATATAATTGAACATATATATATACTAGTGGCGTGGGGTCCACTCTCGTTTCATATAGAACGAAGTAACAAATAACGTATTACCATATCCCAACTTCTATAGAAATGAAATAGGGTTTAACGTCCTACTGTTCTGCTCCTTATGGGCTTATGAAGACGGACGTATGTCATGAGGGAAATTTTGGCCGGACAGCGGCGCTACGTTCTACTATTATTTCGAATTCCAACTGTCAAGGGTTATTTTACGTGCACACGAATGTGTACATGGGGCCTCGGTTGTTTGCGCAGTCCCCTGTCAGGTCCGACCACCCTACATCACCAACAAGAGAAAACCAGACCGATAAATCCCGATGAACTTTCTCGGCCAACGCAGGATAGCAAGCCAAAATCCTACTCACTGAGTCACAATGACTCCCAACTTTAGTAGAGTAAAAATATCATGCAAGTAATAATCTCACCTTGGTCTTTTTTTAAAACACGTGTCTGAATACCTTTACTTCTCTTTGACACCTTCAGTGAGCTCGTCTGTGACGATACTGACACAGTGCAGTTTTTAGCAGTGACTGGTGTGTTGTCTCCCTATAAAAAAATACACAAATATAAATAGATTTGTAATACAAAATGTGATTATACTTACAATGCCAACGAACACCTTCTCATATAGGTAAGACCGGGAATGTACGTATAAAAGATACATATATTTTTATCCATAATATACAATGTATGAGAGTACAATTAAACAAAATTTACCTCTGTAATCTGTTCTAGCTTTTGAATAAGACTATTATGAAATCCACACTCATCATCGATATCTATGGTATGCATTGCGTTGTTCATATCTATCTCAGACATAACCTGTACAAAAATAATTTTTTATCATTGTTGTATGCCTAATTCGTATTTACTTTTAGCAGAAGAATAAAACTGTTTACGGTCATTAAATTTTATACGGGCTTTATCTGCGAAATATACATTATCATTATGATATATGAATGGCTCATTGATCAGTCAAATAGTTAAAAATAACTTCCCATAGCTACTACAGATAATACGACGAGTCTCGACGGCCCCCCCGTTTTAGGGGCTAGCTCACCAAACTCGAGTCACGTTTTCCCTTAATAGTGGTGCATATTGTAGCTAACAGTTCACAAGTAACAGCGTCTAATCTTGATGAATAGGATTGGTACGTTATAACACGGTGTTGGCGTTTTGACCAAATTTCCGGTCATTATCAATAACCCCACGATAAATATATTATTCGATGCTTACCTTTCCTCTTTTGGAGACTGGTGAGGTACTAATAAAGGCTGTATTGAGATCCGATTCATATTCTTCAATAATGGATGGTAACGGTTGAATATCTATCCGGCGGATTGTAGGAATGGAACCCGGAAAAGTTTTTTTCTCTGTTTGCGTATTCCAAAAACTTCAATTAGGTTAGGCCGCAGCCCATAGCAATCGTTCGCAAAATGTTCACTGCATAACACTGTTGTGACTGTAGGTTGCCAATCAGGATTTGAATTGTTTACAAACGCAATCTACTCTTTCCGTAATATTTCATCCTTGGGAAATTTATGAAACGCCGGTACATTATGCCCTTTTTTTTTGCTGGAATTTCCACAACTCTCATTAACACAACGGTAATGCGGCATCTAAAAATACACTTCGAAATATTCTAGGCACAAATAACTAATTTATTACAATTCAAGACGAGAAAGGTCGGCTTAAGAAAATGCTTTGACTTATATAGTGATATGTAGCTTACATAATTACGAGTAAATGATTACGCCAGTCCAATGTTAATTGGGCCGACAAATACACATTTGTCAACTGGTGGTGTGTTTATACAGTGATATATTGTACACACAGTGAGATATTGTGTAGATAATGTATATCTCATGTGTAGTGCCTGTGACGTCACTAGCCAATCAACCGGATTAAGGTCGTTAATGAAAATTTGAAAACCGTTTTTGGCTGTCGGATACTTAAACGTTAATAGCTGAATTAATTTTAATCAGATTGGTGTGAACTTGCCGTAAAATGGATGTAGTAATCATTGGCTACACGTAGAAAAAAAAAAAATTGGCCATCTTATGCGGTCTTTAAAATCCAATCTTTTGTACTGATCTCGAAGTGTCACCATATTCCTATGCAATTGGTATTTTTTCTCGTGTTTGGCAGAATTCGACTCATCTGCATGGCTTTAATTTCTTGTTCTGTGAAGGATCAGGCTTCTTAATCTTCGCGATCATTGAAATCTCTTGCAGAACTGATATTCTCGGTCTTAGAAATATATATCTGTGACATTATAAAGTAGGATTCTTCGACGAATTCCCGCATTCATTTCTGCCAGGATGTTGGCAAAACAACAAGAAATGGCTACATGTATTGTACAAAATGATTGGATGACGTTTGCTTTTCTCAACCAATCAATATCCCTGTTATGAACATTTTCCCTGACCTGATTTAAACCGTGAAATGCACGTGCGGTGTACTGACATCATTTACCTGAGTAGAAATAAGCGTTTGCGATGAGATAATTGGGGGGCTCTAAATGGGAAACTTTGATAAATTTTTTAAATGAAAAATGCTTTTGAAATTGGGAAAAATAGAAAAAATCTCTATTTCTCAAAAAAGTATTTAGTATAAGTCAGTTATATACCTTGTTTTCTCGGTGTATGGGTTAATACACCGTCTCTTTTTTGAGTGGAGATCTCCTCGGCTTCGCTCCACTCAAAAAAGAGACGGTGTATCAACCCATACACCTTGAAAACAAGGTATATAACTATTACTTTTTGAATTAATGCCTAAATTTACTCCATGTGTGGTTTTTTGTCCAGTCCCATTACACATTGTGACAAAATATATGCTGTCTTTCAAAAAAAATGGTTAAAAACAAAAGATGATTATAAACACTCTGCGTCATAGACAAATCTATATTTAGTTAGTTACGGTCATTGAATGTGTAAAGAAGCAGATGAATTATTTCAGGTTTGTTATTAATATTAATTATTTCAGATGATGATGACAGTGATGATGATGAAGATAGTGATGATAATGATGATGATGAATGGGATGATTAATTAAGGGCTAGCGCTACAACAATATAAAATTTTGAACTTTAAAATTTTTTGGCACCATTGTAAACTAATGAGAAGACAGGTTGCGATGTAAGTGACATATTCAGGATTTCCAAAATGGATGAGGCTACAGATTTTTATCTTGTTGTCACCCGTGTCTGTACATCCACAATTGCTTATGTTAGCATTTGGAAAAATCTTATCAAATTTTATTATTTCTGATAATTATTTTGTTGAGATTCGTCCTTGATTAGTTTTCAATGTCTTGTTAATGCTTGCTTTTCCTGCTGTTGGTGTATATTTTGCTGCCTGGCAACCAACTTTAAACTATTACTTCAATTGTTATTAGTTGTGGCTGTTATAAAAGGAAGGGGTGGGTGGATGGCCCCCCGGTTTCCTCCCAATGCTAAAGACCAATACGTGCAAGTGAATTATTGAAATGACCTAGTTTGTGTTGTGTGGACTTAAACCCCAATTTTCTCTCTCTCTCTGTGTTATAAAAGATGTCTTGATGATTCGTGTCTTGTTGCAATGTACTGTGATACACTGTATCATTAGTTGTAAAAATTAACATGCATAAATGAACATTTTAGTGATTGAGTAATTTAATTTTTAAAGGAGCTAAATCGCTAATATTCTGGACCTAGAAATTGGCACAAATGGGTCGCAACACATATAATAATGTAATATTTCAATTTATATAAACTGTTTCACATTCATTCGTGTCCATTTTACTGTGAATTGTCATCAGTTATGTTCGGCGAAATACGCCAGAAGTCTCAACCGCAAGTCAATTTCTAGCGTCTGGTTATTCCAGTCAACACCGATATTATTTATTGCGCATGCTCTCCAAAATAAGAATATGATATCACCGTTCAACATGAGACTTGTGGAATATGTCTAGCCTCATTCTTTGAGCACCTTGTTACAAATGGCGCTGAAACGCATTATGGTACACGATTTGTGTACCAATGGTAAAATGTTTATTTTGTCTTAAATATTGGATATCAGAAGCCTATCTTTTCCAGGTAAGATCACAACACCAATGCTGATTTAAACATCCCTATTGTTTGTGGTGAATGCCCAGCCCCCCGGGACAGAGCCACGCCCATTTTCTTTTTGTGTGTCTGTATGTCACATACAGCCTGCAATGCTTAATCGATCATCTTGAAAACTTGTTATACTTATTCCTTATACCCTAAGGCTGACCTCTATTATTTTTGGTGCATGTCCGACCCCCTGGGACAGAGCCACGCCCAAAATTTGTGTGCCTTTTGTGTCGCCTACAGGCCACAATTCTTAACATTTCCTTTTGAAACTTTGCATACCTATTCCTTTTCCCTAAGGATGCCCCCAATTGTTTTTTGGTGATTGCCCATCCCCCAGGGGCAGAGCCACACCCATTTCTATTCAATTCATAAGATATGCAGCTCTTGTGTGTATTGGTACAGGTGTATTCAGTAAACTGTAAAATTTACCCACTCCCTCCTCTATGATTGCATAAAACAATAAAACTATTTATTGTAACTTTTACACACAGATCACAATTTACAATAGAGTGAATGAAAATATGTCTTACATTGTTTTCAGCATAAATCTGGTAATGTTTCTCTCTGATCAAATGTGTGAAACATTTCTTGTTATAAATTTATACAAATTTAAAGTTCAATGTGAATGCAACTATGGTATATTTTCTTGGGCAAATTTTCGATTTCGAGATCCCAAAAACATTAGCTTCACACAGTGTCACTTCACTATAAAAATAGTTCAGAATAGTAATGTCTTTGGATTTTGTGGGTCTCTATTATATTGCAAATACACATATAAATGTTCAAATCCACAACTTTTCATATTTCAAATTTATTATTTCCATTTAAAAAAAATAATTATTTCATTCGAATTCACAGTACTTGGTGCCAATCCAAACTTAGTCTTGATATTTGATGCACTCCTTAATGCTTCCATAATACGGTATATGCAATGCTACCTGAAATGTAAAAATTTGAAATGAAATTCCTAGCCGCACCACTGACAAAAGGGGAAAAAGGCAATTTTCTCAACAAACATCTGAATCAAAATCTCCTTGATAGTGAGCAAACGCATTCCTCCCCGTAAATGTTAATTAATTTAACACATGACTTTTTGAGAGTTGGTAGTATTTTAATTTTACAAATCTTCACAACATGCTCAGAGTATTCTGCCTGCATATTTTGACTTTTTTTGACAGCAGATCACTGTTTTAGAAATAGGTAGGCCTATATAAAAATGAGGCCTAGTAGGCCTATATTATTTTAATTTTGCAAATCTTCACAAAATGCAGTGAAATATTCTGCCTGCTTATCATGACTTTTTTTGACAGCTGATCACCTTTTTTTTTTTTAGAAATATGTAGGCCTATATTACAAGGCCTAGTATTATTTTAATTTTACAAATCTTCATAAAATGCTCAGGGAATTCTGCCAGCATATTATGACTTTTTTTGGACAGCTTATGACTGTTTTTAGAAATAGACAGGGCTATATAATGAGGCCTAGTAGGTCTATATTATTTTAACTTTACAAATCTTCACAAAATGCAGTGAAATATTCTGCCTGCTTATCATGACTTTTTTTTTTGACAGCTGATTACCTTTTTTTTTTTTAGAAATATGTAGGCCTATATTACAATTTTACAAATCTTCATAAAATGCTCAGGGAATTCTGCCAGCATCTTGTGACTATTTTTTGATAGCTTATGACTTTTTAGAAATAGACAGTGCTATATAATGAGGCCTAGTAGGTCTATATATTATTTTAACTTTACAAATCTTCACAAAATGCAGTGACATATTCTGCCTGCATATCACGATTTTTTTTTTGACAGCTGATCACCCTTTTATAGAAATATGTAGGAATATATTACAAGGCCTAGTATTATTTTACTTTTACAAATCTTCATAAAAATGCCCCGAGAATTTTGCCTGCATATTGTGACTTTTTTTGACAGCTGATATTTAGAAATACATGTAGGTAGGCCTATATCACAAATTACCTACTTATCAAATCAGATTACCTTCCACGTGTGCTACAGCCTTTTTTGGCCAATCCTCTCTGTGTTAAAAACTTGAATATTTCCCCATCAATCTGCTAAAATAAAACACATGCGTGACATGGTAAAGTTTTTAACTGGTCGAAAAGGTTTTTTTTTTTTATCATTTTAAAAGACACAGTGTAATAGCCTATACTGTAGGCCTATAGCCTATTTTCTATGTTGACATTATCGGTACTTGGGATTATAACACATATTCTAATATAATTCTTATAGACACCAAGACATTGGAATTTGAATATAAGCTCCAAATGTGCAGGCAGAGAAATAATGTCCCGGTAATTAATGGAGTTTGATTAAAAATTGTAAACAAATCTAACTAGGGCCGCTACCTAGGCAATAGCATAGCAAAGGGCTAAAACTGTGAAACCAAGGCTTACTATTTCGAGATAAATAATATGAAATATTTTATTGGAATAAATGTTTAAGTAATTGATTTACATACCTTGACAAACAAACTACAATTTCTGTTATTTTCTTTTAAAAACGAAAGTAATTGGTGCCGCGAACGCTTCATTGCTTTCTGGTTCGTGCGCATATTTTTTTGCGCAGGGGGGGTGTTTACTTCCGGTCTAGCTTTCGACAGTACATGTACGTACGCACAGTGACACGCGAAATTGACGTTTTTGAAACTTACGTTTATGAAATTAATAAAATGAACACGTATTTAAAAATTATATGAAAAAAAGAACAAGATATTTCCTTCCAAAATATTTTTTAGATTATTGCAAAAGATTAAATAGCTACTGTGTGACGTTAAGTTGAAAAAAGGTTACAAATGGGCAAAAAATGCCTTTCTTCATTCACGTACCGTACCAATTTACACTAAAATTAGGAAATATTTTTGATATAGAGATAATACATCAAACACCTTTATTTTTATTTTTATAATACTTCAAAAAAAATGTTCTACAATTTAATTTGCAGAAGGAAAAAGGTTATATTGCGAGCTAACTAACCCGCACCTCTGTGCCACACACAGGCCTACGGTATAGGCCTATCTATAGTATGATTAATAAAATTAGATGTTGCATTTTATTATCAATTGCATGGTATATTAGAACAGTGTTTTAAAAATCTTGTTTATATTCAAATGTGCATTTTTTAAATAAATTCAGCTTTGTTTGTATACTTTAGTTGATAAAGATGTAATATCCCTACAAAATTCTTTTCCAATCTAGGCCTAATTAATAATTTTAGAAAATGGCCATTTATTTATTTTAAGTCCCTCTGTCATTTAATTTAGTTAATTTTATAAATGCAGCCCCCCCCCCCCTCCCCAAAAAAAAAAAAAAAAAAAATACACACATACTTTTTTTTCAGCTTGCACAACTGGAAAAAAGTTTACTTATATAAATCCACCCCAATGTAAGCAATTATTTCATAGTCTTTTTGATCTAGGCTTTGTTGAGAAATTAAATTAGCTTCAGTAGATATAACAATTATATATAAGGAAAAAGAAAACACTATTAGTATTAAATAAAAAAGGAATTATTGCTTTAGTTATCAATGAAAAGGAATTTTTATTCTAAAATAGATTCTTCCAGGAATCCTGTACATTAAAAGATTTACAAGAGTTGATAAAGGCAACTTCATCCTTGATATCTGATATTTCAATGTTGGCCACACCAATTTGATTTCCTGTTCTTCGGGCTTCGATATAAAAATAAATAGCTAATTAAATCATGTGAAAGATGTTTTGTTTAAAAATTTGGAACTATAAGCTTTTGAACAGAACAGCCAAGTACTTTTGGTGTTTAAATAGATGTATGTATTTTTCCAGAAGAACCAAATAAATAAATATAATGAACGTCCATTTCTATAGCGCCCAAATTCCGCAAAAATTGTGTTCATAGCGCTTGGCAAAACATACCTACACGAAGTCTTTAGCTCTAAGTTATCACTTGTTTGTAACAGATGAGTTTTTAAAAATTGTAAGGCACTACATTTATCTCATCATGTTGTTTATATGAATATATGATTACGGTATCCAATATCAGTCATGTCATTAACATTTAACTTGTTTGCATACTTGACAAATTAGTCTATAGATCTAGTCAAATTTTTTTACAGAGTTACTTCGTGTAACCGGGGTAAATTATTTACATGCAGTAATTAACAAGACTGTTTAGTTAGGGTTTTTTTTAAAAAAAAAAAAAAATTAAAACACGTCATCCAAGCGAGAACCAAAATATATTTCTTTATGTCCTAAATTAAAATAATACAATAACAATAGACATAAATTTGAAGGGGAATTATGTAAGATTTAGATAAAGAGCTGGTCGTTCTCGCTATTAACTATAACATTTCAAAAATAGATAATGCAAATTGAATATATTGAAAATTTACCACCATACCGTTCTAATCTATTTAAAATCTGAGCAATCAGATGGCATCGAGAGTTGATTATGGTCTTTTCATGTTAATAAATGTCTAATTGATAATTTACATAACATTAAGGCCCAAAGAAAGACCTGCAATAAGCAGATTTAGCTCTTACATCATCATGCCTGTTTAATATTTAAAAACGCATCTTTAATTAACAATACTTTTATGATAAATTAATAAATGCATTATTAAATAAAGCGATCAAACAATGTTAATGTTACATAATTGGATGAATAATTTATAGGCACCTTATTAGATTGAAATACCAACTCTTTCTTCCTCAACTGATAAGATTAAATTATTTAAATCAAAAAATGCAATAGCCTAATATTATTGTTAAGATTAACTTATTTAATTGAAACAAAAATTGTAGGTCATATTTTTAATGATTAATTTAATTACATGGAACAGTAAACCCATATCCTTAAATATCGACCGGCAGCTATTTTTAAATATTAATTTTTCTCCAGAACCGTGTTATTTCCTAAAAAGCCATACATCTCAGCATTGTAACAAAACCAACCTTATCAATATCGGAGCAAAATTGACTGAATTCTGTAACACCAACTGGCAGATCCCTTTTTCGCGAAAATTGGTCATTTGACTTCAATTCTCAACCTATTTAACCATCAACATAACCATACAAACACATTACACATAGCTTGAATGGTTTATTTTCTGATGTTTGAAATACATAAAATTAAATAATTATGCTTAATTCAACTATACAAAATTAAAATCAATAATGATATAATACAATCAAACAATTTAAACCAAATCCCTTGTTGAGTATTAAAATAAAACAAATAAAATAATGAAAATAATAATATCCCCCCCCCCCCAAAAAAAAAAAAAAAAATGAAATAAAAAAAATAAATAAAATATAAATAAATAGATACATAAAATAAAATACTTTATCAATATATTAATGTCTAGTGTCTCAATATTTATACCCCCCCCCCCACACACACACACACAAACAATATGAAAAGAAGTAAATAACATAAATAAAACATACAATTATTTATCAGTATCACAATAAATCAACATGAAATATATTTGCTTCACAAGCTGGCACTCCTCTAGGCCCCTTATAGGTAGCAAACAAAAGACGGGTACCAGTACAGTTCTGCTGAAAATACAAAAGATTTTTAAAAAATTGTGTAATTAAAAGCTTATATATAGCCAACACAGCAATGTTATTATTCATACCAAACTGTATTTTATATATTTACGATTTATTAATGATCTGCAAGTATTATTTTACAAATTAATGAATTGAAAACCCTATTTTGCCGATTTTTAAAAGTAGGTCAAAGCTGTCAAACTTTGCCTTAACTGGGCAACACACGTGTCGAGATTTTCATGAAATGTAATACTTATTTATAATACAATATAATATCAAAATTATAAGATATTCATTTTTATTCTTACCTCGAACATTGCTTCTATTTCTCGTTTCCATTTAACCAGATGATGCCACATTTAATACTACAAGAAAGCGCTAAATAAAAATATCGCTACTGGGCCTATAGGAAACAAACAGCGAGAACAGAAGACCGGAAGTGATCAACCACCTTTCTCGCCGTTTCACGCGATTCGCAACATAACGTCGAGAATTCATGAGTCGGCAATCATACGGTATTATCTATGATTGAATTGACATTGATGATTGATTTCTACTTGTAAGTTGTAGGCCTAAATTCAATTAATGCATTGCGAAGGATCGTATTTTCCGTCCATATAGTCCAAGAATAGCCTTCACGGGTGTAAATACACAAGAACTAACAAGTATTGAAGTAACCGGGTCAAAAATAATAATTATATTTTCAAAAATTTCATTCAATACAAGACGTACACTGTAACATTGAGCATTAAAGGGAGATTACTCGACATGTGTGGAGAAAATCTCGTAACTCGTCAAATTTGAGATGTTTTAAAACAATTATGTGTAGAACCTATTTGTAATTCATCAAAAAGCCTCTTTTATCAGTATTTCAGTCCTAATTTTAACTTACAATATTATTTGACCAAATCCATACACCGGAATTCACTTTGGAGATATCAGAATTCGGCCGTACAATCTTCCTATTTACTTATATTTTCCATTAATATTAATATTGAATTACTTTAAAACACATAAAATCACCGGAATTCACATTGAAAACACATAAACACCGGAATTCACATTGAAAACATATAAACACCTGATATCACTTTCAACATATCTGAATTCGCACTGAAGACCTTCGTATTTACTAATATTTTACATTAAACATGCATGATGCAAGAGCTAAATCTGCCTATTTGCAGGTCTTTCTTTAGGCCTGAAATATTTTCTAATGTATTAATTAGACATTAATTAACTAACACACTATTTATGAATAACAATTACTATGGTTTATTTCACTGCGACGTTTCAACAAGATTTCATAAGTCGTTATCACGCATATAACACAAATAAATAAAATGAAAATAATATGTATATTATACAAGAGCAGTGCGAACCCTCCAATGGGATGCAGAATCGGCAAGCACGAGCAACAGTCCCAAGCCGTTAAATAAACAAATGTTCATTGATGGTTATAAACTGTAATTGGTATAGAGAGTACAGGAATAAAGCCCAAGGATCAAAAAATTATTAGCCCACTCCAAAAAAAAACAAAAAAAACCTATTTCATCGATTAATATAAACCGAAATTAAATGGTTTCATTTGAACCCATTCACATAATGTATTATTCTATGGCAGTAATAAAATAACTATCTACAATGGACGCATTTACTCTATTTTACGTATATTATATACTTCTAATGGAATCTTCTAACTACTTATATATATATATATATATATATATATATATATATATATATACATTAATTAGTTGTAAATGAAAGTAATAATAAAAGATGAAAGTACAAATATTATTAGTAATTGGAACATAATCAACTAACACACTATTTATGGATAACAATTACTATGGTTGATTTCACTGCGACGTTTCAACAAGATTTCACAAGTCGTTATCAAGCATATAACACAAATAAATAAAATGAAAATAATATGGCTATATATATATACAAGAGCAGTGCGAACCCTCCAATGGGATGCAGAATCGGCAAGCATGAGCAACAGTCCCAAGCCGTTAAATAAACAAATGTTCATTGATGGTTATAAACTGTAATTGGTATAGATAAGTACAGGAATAAAGCCCAAGGATCAAACAATTATTAGCCCACCCCAAAAAAAAAAAAAAAAAAAAAATATAATATAAACCGAAATTAAATGGTTTCATTTGAACCCATTCACATAATGTATTATTCTATGTCAGTAATAAAATAACTATCTAGAATGGACGCATATTATATACTTCTAATGGAATCT